GGTGGGGAAAAGTGTTTGCCCAAGGGCCCAGAGACACGGCAGGCTTCATTAGAATACACTTTAATACCTGCGAAACACTACTTACAGGCAGTGCACGTATCACATTACTCTTGCAAAACACAACACAAGAGCCACTGAGCAATGTTTAGAAATCCCCCAAAACAATATTCATTGAGACAATATCTGGCAGAACAGTGTTTTATTTTATTTTAGTCAGTTTAAAAAAAAAACACAGCTTCCCTCGTATTTTTCTACATTTTATTTTGGCCTTTTTCTTTCTTTATTAGACAGTTTATAGCTGAGGGACTTGGGTGGTAACAGGGGTGTGACTTGAAGAGAAAGGCATGCAACCATGGACTCTTTAATTTTCTTCCTCTTTTCTTCCTCTTTTCTCACGTTTTTTTTAATTTTTTTTATAACCGTCCGTCACTGCAAAACTAAAAATTGAATTTATAAGACAAGGACAGATTTTCAGGCCATAAAGACCACTCGAGTTGACCCAAGTTGGCAACAACTATTCAGCCCCTCCGTGCTCCCACAGAAATAAATCAAGCCCCCCAACATCTTCCTCCTCGGGGATGACGTCAGAGAATTGAGTTTTCCATGTTACTATCGGCTTCCACAGCAACCGGGGGGTGACACCGCCCTCTCCCTTGACCTGACCCGGGGAGAAACTCTTTTTTTTCCCCGGGGTATTGTTCCCAACACTTGAATGGATTGCCCTCTAATTCATCTCAGCATGTATAATAGTGCACAAAAGCCAAGGAAGCTGGGGTCTGGGGTGCAGAACAAAACCAACCAGGGGCAGAGTTATAAAGCCATACATGTTGAGCTAAAAAGGGCTGGGGATGGGGCAGTAAGTTCTGTTAGTGAATCCACACAACAAACACTAAACACTGCTTCTTACTCCAGTAATTGCTTTGAAGGGGAAATACAAATGTAAATGGAGGAAATCCATCCGTAGCACTGATCAGAAGTTTTATTTACTTATTATTTGGTCTGATAATTCCTGAATTAAATCAACGTTTTATTTAGACAAAGTTCTTGTTTGACCGGCTGTGATTACACTTTTTAATTAATTCATTTTGATGACAACTAGAAATACTCGACTATGTGCATAAATGTTTTACTCCAACATGAAATAACTACTAATCCAACTATAACTACAGGGCCTATAAAAAGTATTCTGGGATTGACATTAAAGAGTATTTTACTGTTTATCAGTATAAAAACAGCCACATTTAAATGGGGTAATGTTCTCTATAGGTTGTATCTCAACTACTCTCTTCACATTGCATTGTTAAGACTTCTTATTTTACACATTTGGGTTCATTAATCGTGTAATACGTTATATTTTGAGCTCTCTACTGGCAATATAATCCAAGTTCTTGAATCAAATCTTTAAAACACTGAGACCTAAAACTACTGTTCCCTCGCAGTTTACATTACCAACATACAGCAGAGCAACAGATTCAGGCCTCAAACTACACTAAATCTTCATAATGATGTAATTTTGGACCCTAACTGCAGTGCAGGACACCTTCTGCTGTCACCATAAGAGGAAACAAACAGTAGTATGAAGGTTAAACGCTCTCTGCTTGGCTGAAACAGACATACAGACTGCACTCTCACGGCACAATGACTTCTCACAGCAGAGTTACAGTAGGGTCGTTACATATTTCATATCCACAACACAGCATGATGCGGCGGTAACCGTCCTGCTTGACTTACCGGAGGGATGAGAGGGGCTGGTCGGGACACGTAACGCGCTCCGACGCCGTTGAAGTTAGTGGTCGATACTTTTCAGAGGAGAAAATCTATTGGTGTGTTTTCAGGTTATGAGCCGCTCAGGTGAGCCGCTGCTGTCCTACTCGGGCTGCAGCACTAACAGTGCAGAGAGGCTCAGCCAGCAGCAGCAGCCAGCAGCAGCAGACAGGCGGTGTTGTGAGCTTCCTCGTACGTGATTGGGCCAGGTGGAACAGGCGCGTTCACGTGTAACCCTGCGCGCGCGCCACCCGCAGCTTGTGACCGCTGGTGCAATCACAAGGCTGCAGCCGGTGACAGCAGCTCAGGTGGGTTCGTGTCACCGACAGTCAGGCAGGTTTGAGCGATGGGTGGAAAGGATCTGAGTACGTTTACTCAAGTACTGTTATTAAGAAGGATTTCAGGTACTTTAACTGAGTATTTTCATTATACAACTTTACACTTCTGCCCCTTTCAGAGCGAAATGGTATACTTTTTACACAACCACATTTATCTGTTTGTAGTTAAACTACAACAGTCAAATGCACATTAATGCATCTGTAATATTAATCCAATAATGTAAAATAATACTAGGCTATAACACTCTGAATGGGGCTATTTTGCACATTGCATACTTATGACACTTATGGTGCATTTTTATATAATTCTACTTTTAATTCATTGTAATAGAGTACATTTACTGTGGTACTGGTAATTTTACTCATTTACTTAAAGCAGCAACAAGTAAGTTTAATTTTTATGTTGATTTTGGCGACCTCTGTGGTCAAAAGTCGGAACTGTTTCCACCGCCTCCTTTCATTTATTTCAAGGGGAATCTCTGATGGTCTTAGGTCTTATATGGTTATATAGAGGCATCAGTATTACATGTAAAAAAGTATTAAACTGTTTCATAACCATTGTAGTGTGTTTAAGTAAAGGGTTTGGATACTTCTTCAATCGCTGGTTTTGAGATAATATATTTTACCTCAAATTTAAACTTTTACTCCATTACATTTCTGAGAGAAGTATCATACTTTTACTACCATCTGACGGCTGTACTATATTCAGATTGTACAGTCAAACTCTTCAGGAAAAGTCTTGTTTCAGCTTGATGCCATAATGCATTTTAGACACTGCATTTAGTCTTTGGATTTTGATACTTTTAAAAAGAAAAATCTGAATGCAGGAATTTTACTGATATTTCAGTTACTACAGTTTGCTACCTGCTGCTTTACAAGCTGAAAACATCCTCCACAACTTGTTCATAATAGGTGTGAACGCATCTGATCAAGAGATGACTCAGGGATGAAGGTTGAATGGAAAAATGCACACATTAGCTATTTTCTTTTGCACTGGTGATTAAACTGTTGATCACTGCTTGAATGTTGTACTTTTACCCACCAATAAGGCTTTTCCTCTAGGCAATGATAAGACCTCACAGAAAAATGGTTCACAATAAATCGAGCCACATACCTTTGACACAAAAGCTGCAGTGTACCTTACCTTTCCATTGAAAAACATTAAACTATACTGCTGTTAAAGCAAATCTGTTTGTTTAGCGCAGTGTTCTGAAGAGCCACGGAGATAAAACACGACACAGAGGCTGTGATCAACATCCTTGAAGCTTTTCTGAGGATTAACCAGATCCTGTCAAATGTATACCTGTGGGTGCGGTGGGTTTATGATTATAAAAACCTGAAGGGGAACCTAAAAGCACCTGGACTTGTGTAAACACAAGTCAATTTGAATCCATATGTCAACAGAATATAAACCACTGATGTCTATCTGGACACGAACAAGTTGACAAAACAACAGGATAAATGGAGAACAGATTTACTTTAGGTATAATTGTTCATTCTCATAGGACACGTCAGCTCTTCCCTTGTTTGTATCCAAATGTCCAGATGTACTAAAAGGCTTTGAACTTGCTTCATATGTCTTTGTTGGCCCCTGGTGGTGAGTTTTCATACAAACTGCAAAAAAAACCAACAACTCTGAAGATGCTTAAAGAAAAGAAACTTTAATTTTCCCCAAAAGATCACACAGCATTCAGAATCCTCCTTTAACTCAACACTTGTTAATGTTTCATTATTATGAAGGTAGAAATCCAATAGCACATACTAGTACTAGAACATCATTCTGTAGGTCTTCAGGAAAAACAAAACAAAGCCAAATGGCAGCATTGGTCATCGACTACATACTCCAGGTAAAATAGAGAAAATTACAAATATATATCCATCTATTTCAGGGAAAACAACAGATTGTTGTACAAGATCCACACTCTTAAACTGCTATGGTGAGCCATAGGAAAAATACAAATCAACGAAGTGAGGACATGAGAGCTGATTATCAATACCAGCGTACAATATGTCCTCTCTAAAAAATATATTTTAATGTAGCCCAATGAAAGAAACTGTTAGCAGCTCAGGCAAACGATGCTGGTCTTTTAAATTTACAAAAGACAAAAAACGTTCTCAAGTTAATCACATTTTGGTTTTCACCTTACATATCATACCGTTCTTACAAGTTTCTTTTTGTAATTAGTCTCAAATGCATAAATGTACATATGTGCAATATGGATAAATATCTTTGAGAACAGCAAGTCCTAAAATACAGTTTGACTTTCTAAAGTTCCTGGAGTATTTTTTTTAACGGAGCTATAATTGTGTATTGTGTGGAGTGTTTTAACATGTAAAGTTGTACAGGCTGCGTATGTCCTCAGAGTGTGTGTCCGTGTGTTTGGTCCGTTCTCTTCCTATAAGCAGTGGTCCCGAAAACTGGTAGTGAGAGCGTCTGTTATCAGTAACAAGACCAGATATCATAGCACGGAGGGGAAGAGAGGAACAAATTCAAGAAATCAAGGCACATTTAGTCACATAAGGCTGGTCCTTCATTTACTCTGGAATTTAGGAGAATTGACACTTTCATTTTCATTCAGTCATATGCCATGAATGTAGACAAATTAGGGAAATGCTTAAAAAACAGAAGGGTAATATTGATTAAAAGTAATCAATCATATCACAACATGCATTGTTAACAGCCATCAATATGACTTTTAAGCATTGATTTAAAGGAATAGTTTTGGGAAATACTAAAGTTTTCTTGCCAAGCGTTAGATGAGAAGATTGATCCCGCTCTCATGTCTGTACGTTAAATATGAAGCAGTTAGTTAGCTTAGCTTAGCATGGGGGGGAAAGCAGCTCGTGGCTCTGTCCTGAGGCACATAGCATTCTGTAAAAACAGCTTGTTTTTTTTTTTTACACTTTGGTTTTTGTATTAGTGATGTTTAGAGTTGCTGGTAGGCAGAATTGTCTACCTTTGGACAGAGCCAGGATAGCAGTTTTTCAAGCTAAGCTAAGCTGCTGTCTGCAGCCTTATATTGAACAGCAAAACGAAATAAGCTGAAATATGAAATAAGCTTAAACAATAATAAGCTTAAAATAGCAAACTACCACTCTGAGTTTGCTGGTAAAAGTGACCAGTTTGCATGATCCAGAAATCTGAATGCCAGTTTGCCCTGTTTATCATAACAGGTGCACGGTCAAATAATGAGAGTATTCATGTTCAAGCTTCCTGATTACACTTTCATAAAGCATTCGTGTCCATCCCAGTCAGCTGATAGCAATATAAATAACGTGAGTAAAATGGCAGTTGTTGTGACCCCGTAGCTGCCCTTACAGAGCCAACATGTCCGCCAAGCTGACATACAACATTCATATGCTGGAGTACAAAAGGCCATTTACAGTTTCCAGATGTGTTTACTGCAGCAACTCCCGTTCAACAGATTTGTCAAACAGTATAAAAGTGCATTTCCTATGATTTGAAATAACTGATGAAAAGAAGACAGAATGGATTTAGCATCAAGGGTAAAACAGATTGTGAGGTTGTTGTTTTTTTTTTTTTTTCATTTTATGTATCAAGTTAAAAGATTTATAATTCTGATAGTTTGAAAGGCAGTGACAGTGGAGTTGAGAGAGGGGAGGGATTCCTGTAGTTTCTGTAGAATTTGACATTTCCTGTCAAACTGAGCCACTATGGCTTCAGGAAGGAGTGATTAGTGCTCTTCCAGCCAGGATGGACTGTCCCCACCTGGCATTTTCAACTTGATGTGAAACTGCTTGAGTGTCTGTTCCAGCTGCTCTTGGTTTCCAGCGTAGTACGCAGCTATGGCATTGTGGAACAAGATGAGCTGGTTATGCAATACCTTCACCTGTTTGGGAGCAGAAACAGGAAATAAAGAGATAATGAGCACACTGCAAGCCAATATGTTGGTGCAGGTATGTAGATTAGAACGATCCTATAGCTCACCTTGTTCTCTTCCAGGAACTTCAGCTTGACGGAGACGTCGTTTCGCATCCTCTCATACTTCTCACGGTGGATCTGGAACTGCTGCTGGGACAGCTCAATCTTGGGCATGGTGGTGGCGTCACGTGGCCCCAGATTTAGCTCCTCCAAGTCTGTGCGGTACGCGTCATACTCAACCCTGGAAGTGTGTTATTATTACAGCATGAGAAATATGTTCTATGTTTGTAAACCTGATATATAATAATAATAATAAT